TTTTTTTTTTGTGCTTTGGCAGATATAGGCTTTAACAGTTTGTGGCCTGAGAGCCTATCGTGATCTGCAGCTACTCAGAACTAAGAATGTGTAATAAGCAGTGTTGGTCAAGTTACTTGGAAATAGTAATTAGTTACTGATTACTGATTACTTCTCCAAGAAATTAATCCAATTACTTTACTGATTACTTATTTTCAAAAGTAATTAGTTACTTTACTAGTTACTTTACTAAGTTACTTTTTTAAAAACATGATGCACGACCTGAATACGCTAGACCTGTCAGCCTAATTCTATTCTTTCTGCATATTCCATCTAAAATGTAATCAAATTAAACATTTTCTTTTTTTAAAAACTTGTTTTATTTCTTTCAATATTTTAACTTTATGCACATTGAATCGAGCAAAAATTAAATTAAATGCAACAGTCTCAGACTAGAAGAAAATTGTTGAACATTTAAACCTATTTTCTGCACATTCCACCATATTTTAATGAAATAAAGACAGCCCTTCTTCTGTTAATATATTCCAGCATATAAAATAAATATGTTTTGTGAAATCCTTCATTTGAATAGATGTAAAAATACAGCAACAAAATCATGAAAGTCACTCCTGACTATATTACAAATTATTAACACTTACGTCTTTTAACAGTAAAGTGCAGAGAGGAGCAAAAATTAGTTGATCAAAACAGAAAATGCTGTTGCATGCCGTATTTTGGCTTCAAGTTTTTTTCTGTTTTTTTTTTCTTTCGGATTGAAACAGTGGTTATGTACCTTCAGCATGTTGCCGCAGCGGTCATGTCAGATGGGGGTTCAGGGTTTTTTTTCAGTAAGTTTCACATTCCTGTACCGGCTTGCTGCTTTAGTTAACCGTATGAGGCTGTCTCGTGACATGCTTGCTCAGATTTGAGGTAGAATTTTGACATTCTCCAACGGGGGTCCTATTTTCCAGATCAGGATGCTCTCTGCTGCATAGTTCGCAAGTCTCTCTCTCGCTCTCCTCGTCGTGCGCGATACGAAGTTTGGACTTTGGAACACAGTCTCGCATGCGCGCTCGCTCTACATTCCGGGAGATTTTAACTAATTTGCGGTATAACTAGTCAATCACAAATGTGGCTCAACGGTTAGATTTATAGATATACTCATCTTTCAGGCATTTGACCGACGGGATTGTCACTTCTGCTTTCTTCTTCGAGAAATCGGGGGTGTGTCGTGTGAGCGTGTGTGAGAGTTGGCAGCTCGGCTGCTCTCTCCCGCACTCTAGTCGTCTCTCAGTGATGTCGCGGCGCTCATACATCATTTTTATTCACGCACGACTCATGTCACGAGACAGTCTGACTAAACAAAATCACGGTTAATTAACGCAGTAACGGAGGCTGTTTACGGGGAAGTAACGGTAATCTAATTACTGTTTTTTCAATTGTAATCCCTTACTTTACTCGTTACTAGAAAAAAGTAATTGGATTACAGTAACGCGTTACTTCTAACGCGTTACTGCCCATCAGTGGTAATAAGTGGCAATAAGCATCAAGATATCACAGTTTTTTGCTAAGGAGATGTTTGTTTAGTCTCTTCTTGAAGGCCTGAATATTCTTTGAGGTGATTTCACCTACTACGGTAGAGGGGTGGCAGTTCCAAGTTGTTACAGCTGAATGAAGAAAGCTCCTTCCCAAGCATTTTGTGTTAGACTTGGGTAATTTTAGTGCGTGACTTGCTCGTGCTCTTCGAGTGGTTCGGCAGACGAGATCTGGTGGGGGTAGCAGAGCTTTGAGATCCTCTGGACAGTTTTCAGTGTGCATTTTGAAAAGCACAGTTGTTGCTGCAACAGTTCTCCGATGGTTGAGCTGACTGATTGCATATTTCCTTAGGGCAGTGTCCTCATCCACCCCAATGATTTTCAGTGCCTTTCTCTGGATGTTGTCAATCTGCCCGAGGGTGGTCTGTGATGCGTTCATCCAGGCAAGGCAAGAGTACTCCAAGGTACTCCTGACTTGTGCCTTGTAGACATTGGCCCAACCTTTGACATCAAGCTTGTTGGCCAGCCTGCGCAGAGCTCCAAGACACTGTCCAGCACGCTTACAGATGTTTGACAGGTGATTATTCCATATCAACTTATTATCGATACATAGTCCCAGAATATTCAACTGCTCAAAGAGATCTATTCTGGTTGTCCCAAAGAACAGGTCCGGACGGGATGGAGTCCTCTTTCTCGACAGAACCATAGCCTTGCATTTGCTGGGTTCGAACATGACCTTCCAAGTATCTTCCCACCTGCGAATATTCTCCAGATCTTTATTTAAGGATGCTGCCACATTGGGACCATTAAGTGCTGTTATTGGGGCATAAATGGTGGAATCATCCGCATATAGAAAAATGCTGTTATTGCACTGTTCTACAACATCGTCAATGAAGATGGAGAAAAATAGCGGGCCGAGAATCGATCCCTGGGGCACAGAGGCGTTGATTGGTTTTGGTGATGAGGACTGACCAGAGAGCACGACCTGGATGGACCTTCCTTCCAGATAATTCTGTAGCCAAGAAAGTAGTGGCCCAGTTATACCTTTTGCAGAAAGCTTATTCAGAAGACCGTTGTGCCAAACCTGGTCGAACGCTCCTTTAATGTCTAGTGCGACAATATACACCTCACCTTCTTTGTCTAAGATGTTGTTCCACGTCTGCGATAGAACTGTAAGGAGGTCTGCTGTGCAGTGGTTCGGTTTAAATCCATACTGTTTAATAGAAATTAAATTATGACGGAAGAGGTAGCCCTGGAGCTGTTTATGAACTGAGGATTCCATGACTTTGCTAAGGACTGAAAGGAGGGATATGGGACGATAATTTGTTGGATCTGATTTAGAGTCTCTTTTGTGTTTTGGAATCACTCTGGCGTTTTTCCATTGTTTGGGGAACAAGCAATGTGAGAAGAGAATTTGAAAGAGACGACTGAGGGGGCTGGCCAATTCCGCAGCACATTCTCTAAGGACTTTTGTTGGAATTTCATCAGGTCCCGTTGCCTTTGCTGGATCAAGGTTACGAAGAATGTTTCTAATGTCTTTGGGTTTGAAGTGCACATTGGCAAAAGAAGATGTTGGTTGCTGGCACTGAGGCAACGAATGCACAGATGCATCGGGCAAAGTACACTTCTCTGCGAAGGTTTGACAGAAAATGTTTGAACTGGCACTGATGTGGGTGGTACTGGGATGTTTGTGAAACCACTTCTGCCTGAAAGTGAATTTACTATGCCCCACCATATTTTTTTTTAACTTAGTGAGTTGTCTGCAAGTTCATTCCTCAATTTGGTGTAATACTCCTTTTTTGCCCTCTTTTCAGCTCGACTGAAAACTTTACAAACTTTGGATAGTTTGTATTGTCATTTAAGATATCTGTAATGTAATTATGACTAATCGAAACGACAGATATAGTATGGCAAGCCATTTTAACATTTAATCATTTTAACCTACTAGTCTCTATTTTCATTCTGCTGTTGTAAAGAACGATACTTTTAAACATAACCCTAAATTTCCATAAGGTGTCGCCAGGCGACCGTCTTAATGAACGAGTCATGGATTCATTCGTTCAAAATGCTAAATCATTCAGTAATGAGAAAACACATTGCTTTGAGATGTGTGATGGTTTGCTGTGATCTTTGTCTAACTATTTTCTCTGCTGAAACAGAAAAAAGTCAATATTGCATCTAAAATGTAAGTGACGTGTCTTGTGTGTGTGACTACGTTTGTTGCAGTGATAAGAGTTGCACCCCTGTTAAAGTTTAAGGTCTTGTCTTACTGGATATATATCTTCTTCTTTTTTTTTTTTAAATATGCATACAACCCATTTATTTTGGATTTATTATTTACTTTAAATCAAATTAAGATTGTATGTTTGGTAATTGAACCTGAATGAATTTAAAATGAATGTGCTATATTTCAGATCATATATTTGTTTTTCTTAAAATTACAAATTACAACTTGAGTTTGTTTACCAACTATGTGCATCATAGAAACTTGAGTGCCTTATATATTGTTCAAAACTTGTTTTTTCAAGGTAAATCTAGCAGGACCATCAGTTTGAATACTAATTATTTGTTTTTTTTAAAAAACCCGAGAGACAATACCCAAATTAATGTGTTAGCGCGTCAGATGTACCCCAGAAACACAAAATACTTTATGGAGTGTTATGAAAATGCGACCAGCATTCCTTTCGGCTATCTATTGATTGACTTTAAAGCGAAAACACCAGAGAAGTACCGTCTCAGAACAGATATACTGTCACAATATCCAGTTGTGTACATTCAGAAAAGAAAACATTGACGTCGTGAGAGAGAGAGAGAGAGCGATTTGAAAAAATGTCTGCAAAACTTTTAAGAAACCTACCTCTTTTAAAATTGTTATTAAAAGCCACACCTAAACAAAGACGTGTTATTTTAGAAGCAGCCACAGATGAGCTCATTGTGACATTGTGTGAAGTAGCACTCAACGTAGTCCATGGTAACCCAGCCAACACTCCCATGTGGGCCCCAAAGGGGTTGCACTTGGGCTGATATCTGGGGCCCACCTGGGCTACCCAACTGGGCCCCAGCTAATTTTGTCCTCAGTTTCCATGGAGGCCCTACATGGGTTAGCCCAGATGGGTTGATGATGGGATCTTGATGGGTTCCATATCGTGCCCATATGGGTAACCCAAGTAGCCCCTATTTAGGGCCTACAGGAGTCTGCCCACGTGGGTTGATGATGGGACCCAGATAGGTCTTATCTAGGGCTCTTATGGGCCACAACGGTTATATATATGGGCTACCATATTTGTCTGTTTGGGTTACCTTATTTTACAGTAACCCCTAAATACAAACATTACATGTTATGCACTAAATTACACTAAAATGTTAAATGTATTCAATGAACCAAAACCAGTAGTTATAGCTTTACTTTATTAGAAATTGCACATGTACAAGTTTATTAAAAGACAAATATAAAAAAAAAAATAATACAAAAAGTTAAAGCTTCTGACAAACTTTATTTGGCATAACTTGTATTGATTATATATGCATATCTGAACTGTAAAATTAAGCATTTCACGAACAAAACAACAGTGCAGCTTCTCACTCGTCTGTTGTCGCTCTCCCAACAGCCCTTTGAAAAGAGAACATAAATGAATAAACCATTATGTAGGTTTTTTTTTTATTACTTTTCAGTTCAAACAGATTTGTCAGGTTAGCCTTTTGGATGAAGAGTCAACATCGTCTACTTAAATTCTGCAGCCGAATACACAGAAAACATTATCAATAAATTACTTAAATGTTTAGACAGTCTCCTGTTTTTTTTCCACAACACTCATAATCAATATGTTTACAGGTGTGCAGATTACTCAATGAATTTGCATTGATTTGCACTACCACTCTTGTCGTTTTTAAAGTTTGTATTTTCACATAAAAATAAGCATATTTTAAGACTTTTACCTATCTTGCTCTCCACCACGTGCCCTCGCAGTACGGTTTCCTCCCCTGTCCCTGGCACCGATTAGCCACTTGGACACAGCCTTTTCAGCCTCTCTTCTGTTAATTTGGTTTGTAAGGGGATTTTTTTTCAAGCTTCCTGTAAAATATATAAAGAGCATTAGAGTGAGATTAAATTCCACATTTGAGCCCTTACAACAAAGCAGATATCTCAACCTTGATATTTTTCAGGAGATACAACAATGGTATCAGATATAATATTCTGTCATAAACAATTTTTGCTGGTTTATTAAAGGGTTACTTCACCCAAAATTGAAAATTAAGTCATTAATTACTCACCCCCATGCTGTACCAACCCCGAAAGGCCTTCGTTCGTCTTTGGAACACAAATGAAGACATTTTTGATTAAATTTGAGAGGTGGATCACTGCTACATAGGGTGTAAAGTCGTTATTTTTTGTTTGTTTGTTCACACAAAAAGTATTCTTGTCGCTTGATAAACTTATAGTTGAGCCATTGTAGTCACATGGAACGTTTAAACATTTTCTTCATTGTCTTTCTGGGCCGTCAAGTTTCGATCCCTTAGGCAGCCTATATAGCAGAGATCCACCCCTCAAATTTAATCAAAATATCTTGTGTTATGAAGATGAACGAAGGTCTTACGGGGTTGTTACAGCATGGGAGTGAGTAATTAATGACTTAAATTTCACTTTTGGATGAACTAACCCTTTAAGCAAACAAACAATAGAGCAGAGCAATATTTCACAAGTTCACATGTAATGCATATTGGAGTACTGTCCAGGGGGAGGGCTTCAAGCTGAACCCTGAGTAATCCCCCCATTTCTGTACATGCTGTTGGACCTAACTTAAAGAATTAGTTTACTTAAAAAAAAAAACTTTTGCTAATAATTTACTCACCCTCATGTCATCCAAGATGTCCATGTCTTTCTTTCTTCAGTCGAAATTAAGGTTTTTGATGAAACACAAATAATCGTCTTGCTGTTATGTGATGCGCGGTCATGTGCGGTCACAAACAAATGCACATCGCATAAGAGAGCAAGGCGACCATGTTTGCTTATAAAAAACGTATAAAGACCCTTATTCATCATCTGCAATCGTTTAAAGCCCTTTGAAGCTGCACTGAAACTGTCTTTTGGACATTGAACCTTTTGTTCCCATTGAAGTCCATAATATGGAGAAAAATCCTGGAATGTTTTCACCAAAAACCTTAATTTCTTTTCGACTGAGGAAAGAAAGACATGGACATCTTGGATGACATGGGGGTGAGTAAATTATCAGCAAAAGTTTTTTTAAAAGTGAACTTATCCTTTAATTTGTAAAATTTGTTCTATTCTATTTATCTATTCTAGTTATCTAGTTGTATAATTGTACTTATTTTATTTGTAGTACTTTAATAATGTTTGAATAATGCTATTATTTTTTATAATCCATGAGTTGTGCGATTGCTACAACACTAATTAACAGTTACTTATCACTGAATTGACAGAATACCTGGTCCATATCTGTCCATATCTATTCTGTCCAAGTATGGACAATTATATCCATACAATCAAATAGTTTTATGAAGTACTCAACTCTAAAGACTAATCTCTGTTTGCACATTAATATGTTAAACAGCAAGTAAACATACCATAGACAACTTCAAACAGTTTGAGCCCCCCAAACTCTCGCTTCCCATGGCGGCCAACAAAATTGTACTGTCTTGATAGGGGGTGGTCCAAAAGGAAGGCCATCATCCTTCGTGTGGCTTCATCCACAGTTCTCCCTCCAATTTCTGCCACCACATCAACCTAAGGAAAAACAAGATTATCATAATGGGGGAGACAACACAAAATGTTAACCTGAATAATCACAATTAAATTTCCCCCCAAATCGTGCCGCCATAGATTAATACCTATGCTATTTTTGCTATTAATACCGCTGCAGTTTTTGATATTGGAAGTAGTAATCTACTGTGTATATTGTGTATCGAGTCCATAAATACAACTCTATTTTTCCACAATTCCCAGGGAACACTCCCAAAATTGGTGGAGGCCTAAGACTTTTGTACAGTATTTCTACGTGGAAAAACGTTAATGATTAGTCCTGTGAATCTGCAAAATGGTCATATTAGAACATACCACTCGTTTGTGGAAGGTGGGGTCTGCCAATTTTTGCTCCATTACATCAACATCCGAGACCGTCCTCAGGGGGAAAACAATGTCTTCTGGAAGTGCTGCAACTGTACTTGCATCCCGTTGTGTGAGGAGTGATTGTATCATCCTCCCATGAACCCTCTGTGTCTCCTTGATTTCCTCCAGGATGGTAAGGAGACGTGCAAACATGGCATCTCTAAATGCAGGACTGGCACCCTGCAGAACTCTATTGGGGCGGTCTGGTGTTACAGCCGTTAAAGGTGTTGCAGGTGGAAAGGGCTGAATAAATGGACGGGTCCTGTGCAAGTGGGAATCCTCCGGTTGAGGGTTCTCTGGCACTGGGGGAGGTAAATGCAGATCTCTAAATGCAGAACTGGCATCTTGTAAAACTCTACTGGGGCGTTCTGGAGCAACAGCCGTTAACGGAATTGAAGGTGGTTGAATAAATGGACGGGTGTTGAGTGAGTGGGGAGCCTGTGGTTGGAGGTTCTCTGGAACTGGTGGAGGTAAAGGCACACTGGATGGATGATCAGGCCCAGCACCACCGAGTTCCTCATCAGAGCTTGACAGACACACTGGCCTTGAAATGCACAAAATGTAGAGCATAATTAAGTAGTTGTACAAGTTTCAAAATAGAGCTGTATATGTGCAGTAGAATATGTGAAAAAATAGCATAATGAATAATCAAAAATAAAATAAATAAACAGTGCTTTAAACTTTTGAGCTACAGTATGTGTATTTAACAGTAGCATTAAAGAAGCTCTACATTGACATCACTTCATGAATTAAATATACATTGATTCTTATTAAAGCTACTTAAAGGGATAGTTCACTTTGAAATAATTTTTTGACATGTTTTAGCTTACCTCAAGGGTATCCAACATGTAGGTGTCTTTGTTTCCGCAGTAGTTTCAATTTTGATATTTTTAGGTCAAACCGTTCTTGTCTGTCAGTCATATAATGCAGGTCTATGGTCACCACCTCAAAGAGCATGCACAGAGAAGTCCAGATTAAACATGATTTAATGACTTGTAAACGTAAGTACACATTGATGGCCTAAGACACGAAACGAGCGGTTTGTGTGAGAAAACGAACAGTATTTATATCGTTTTTACTTGTCTTGCGCAGACAGAAGCGCCCTCGCCCTCAGAGTACTTGGACGTGGCTGTGGTTACAAGAGGTAAAAACTATATAAATACTGTTCGTTTTCTCACACAAACCGCTCGTTTCGTGTCTTAGGCCATCAATGTGTACTTACGTTTACAAGTCATTAAATCATGTTTAATCTGGACTTCTCTGTGCATGCTCTTTGAGGTGGTGATCATCGACCTGCATTTATATGACTGACAGACAACAACGGTTTGACCGAAAAATATCTAAATTGAAAATACTGTGGGAACAAAGACACCTACATCTTGGATGCCCTTGAGGTAAGCTAAAACATAACAGAAATTAATTTCAAGGTGAACTATCCCTTTAAAATATCTAATCCTTTTCAAGAACAATTGTTGCTTTCAAAATCTATGTATGCAAGAAATATAGTCTTACCTTCTTTTGCGCTTCCCTTTTCCCATCCGTCTTCCAGAATCTGAGTCCGTCTGCAAGTCTGAGGTCGCCTCAGACTTCAACAGCTTCGCTGTGGCGAGGCCATAGTTTGCTGTAGGTGATAGACATTTACCAATAAATATTAGTAACTACTATTTCAGAAGCATGCCTTACTAGTTTTATTAGATACATAAATATTATTATTACTAGTCACCATTCAAAAAAAATCACATTACCTGCTTTGAACGCGCACTTTAAACTGCAGCTTACTGCAGTTATCACCTTTACAGCAAGAAATGAATGTCTTTCCATCATTGTACTGTCTGTATTGCTGGCATGTTCCAAGTTCATCAGTCACTGGTCCAGAGAAATGGAGTTGTTTGAGAGGAGAGGAAATTGATATTTTCTTCTGTTTTGCCACTCTCTGCCTCTCATGGATTCGTCTAACAATTTGCTGCACAGGATTTTGTGGCCTCCGTATCTTTTTAAGCTTACCTAAATGGGTTTCAAATGGGAAGCAGGAAATGCCATCCAAAGGACCAAAGTTCCGCGCATCTTGGGCAAGGTGTATCAAGGAATGGATGTTGTATCCAACAAATTCAAGGCCATAAATAATGCCAAAATCTTTGACAAATATTTTCAAAATATCTTCGGCATAGTCGCAGTTGTCAGTGCACAAATCAGGGCTAAGAAGAATTCTTATCGATACAGACAAAAGAATAAAGTTTCTATACATTGTATCGGGTATATTCTTAAGTAGGACAACAGGGCCAGTGTAAAGTAAAAACTGCCTTAATTCAGTTGCTTTCCACATACTAATTTCTAGAAGAGACCTAGGTTTCCTAGCAAAATTCCTCGGTAAATACTGACAGAAGCCATGAATGCAGAAACCGTAGTGAGATTTCTAACTGTCTGCATTTCAGAGGCCCTTTTAACCAAAGATAAATCAACTGGCGCATCGCCCCCAAACACACAAGGTGCATATAATCAAGCACAAAACTTGAGACTAACCCCACATCTAACTCAGACAGGGGTGAAACTCCTACTTGGTGCTCTTCATAACCCATTTCCCTAAATGTCTGATCAGTCCTTAGTTCTGCAGACAACTCAGGAAAAGACATTCTCCTATTTACATGAACACCTTTTTGAGTGCAGCGCTCACATGCGTAATACCCATTGTGACCCTTCACACATTTGAGGAACGCACGTGCTGGAGCATCACATATGAATGCATCAGGAGCAGCAACTGTGAAATGCACATCATTGTACTGAATACCCTCCTGTACAACAACTTTAACATCTTGAATAAATTCATTTAAATACTCTTGCACATTAGATGGTTTTGTCACACCTGAGTATAAGCCAATCACAAACACATTTGAATTTGGGATCTCCTTAATCCTACCCAAAATTGGCCACAAACTTACATTGTTGCTGCGGAATAAAGGTAGACCATCAATTTTAACTCTAAGCGTGAGAGTGTTTGTCAGATCTCTCAGATCAAAATCTAAAGATGCCAATTCTGCCAGAACTGAATTCCTAATTCCAAAATGATAGTATGTTCCTCCTGCTACATTTTTGGCATCACACTTGCGGTCTGTGGACATTAGGGTTCTAGCATCCAATGGCACATTTAGGCCTTTTTGTCTGAGAATTTTCAGAAGAGCAGACAATGCATTTTGAGAGATATTGTATTCTGCAGCCCACTCTGCAAGACCATTTGTGTCATCTAGTGTGTCTGAAGCCGCATGTTCTGAATCAGAACATACAGAGTCCAGGTCAAAGTCACTGGTATTGTCAGCAAACCCATTTTCAAAACCATCATAAAATATGTCATTGTCCAAAGCATCATAAAAAATTTCTGTGGGATATTCTTTTTCTACATTCTCTGTTACATCCTCGACACAATCGTGATAAACAGAATCCTCCAATGGTTCATTATAGGCTGATCCCAAATTAAAATGCTGTTGTTTAATTTCATTCTGTTGTGAAACAAAATGAAAATGTTCAGCAACTTTTGCAGCTATTTTTCTTCTCTTTGTTCTCTGAGAATGCTCCATTACTTTCTGTAAAAAAAAAAAGCATATGACTTTCAAACAGTTAAAATTCTAATTTAGGCAAAATCATTTGTATGTTAATAACAATTTGTTTGGTTGGTAATAATACCCAAATACAAACTGATTTACATAAGGCAGAAACAGCAACAGGTGTTGTCTTTTTCATTTTATGTATTTACATATTATGCATTACTGTTAGTACAACAGCCTTATAATTTACTAATCAAAGTGTGTCTGTCCCAAGCTGTACAGCTTATTTACACTAGCTTCTCTGTCATCCATAAGCCATAATTGACATCACCGTAAAATTGATCGATCAGTGTTTTTCAACTGCGGAAAGATGTCCATAAAACAGCTGGAGAACAACATATGTCACCTAACATTACATTTACCTCACGATGCCTTTTAATGACCCATAGCACGAATGTTAGTTGGACTTAATTCCTATAGAGAGGAGTATTTTGCTAAATATGATTAATATATTACACATTTATTACATTTTTACCTATATCATTAAACTATTATAATGTCTGTTATGATTATGATATATAACGCATTATATTTAATATAAGACGGGACATATCTACAACAGTACCTGATATTTATCCAAAGGAACTGATATTAAATCAAGATAATCGTTGAAATTGTGAATTTTTGTTAAGCAATAATAAAAACAGTAGCATACCAGTCATTGTACCATGTAAACATTTTACATGGCTAATAAACTTAATTATTATTTAATTATTACCTAATTAGTATTATTTATTTTTAATTGTATTTAAATTTTTAATTTTAATTAAAAATAATTTGTAATTCATATAGATACATTTGTACTTGTTTGGAGAAAATACCCCTATATGCCATATATATATATACACATAATCAAATTTTTCTAATTACGATTCATATTTTGAGTAACACTTTAGAATACTCTTCCATCATTATTGAATAACTAACGTTAACTTACACAGTAACACACTATTAACATTCTATTAACTACTAGCCTACTAACTGACAAGGCTCAGACTAATGATATAGCCTCAGCCTCAATGAAATAGCACTCAGTTCAATGTGGTACTTCACTATTAACTAATAAATAACTGCTATTTTTCCAAACCTCCCAGAGAACTTCTAAGAACTAATTTGCACTAAATAAAGGGGGAGGGAAAAGAATCTTATGATGTTAAAGCTTCTCAGATCTCATATTTCAGTGTTCTGTGACGAAATAGACATTTATTAAAGATTTATTTAAAAATAAACATTTGAGGATTCAAATATTTCGTTGAATGTGCACACTTTAAAAAAAAAAAAAAAAGCTAAAATGACATGACAAGCTGGAGTCTCAACTCCAAATAATTTGTTATAATACACACACAGTTGATGTATTAACAATTATATAAAAAATAAGAATGTTATTATAATAGCAAATTTGGTCATGGCGCCAGAAATAAGGGAAATATTGCACGTGGGAATTTGAAATTCTAACTGACATTCTAACGAACAAGTGACAATAAGCTTATGTTTTCAAAACAATGTTAACCAAATATCGATTGACATTTCATTTTTTAAATGTATTTCTTACCTTGACTATGCTGACAGTGAGAATTTTCCAATAGATTCCCGAAAATGACAGCAGCAGTGAGTGAGAGAATGTCCGGTAAAAGAGTGAATGTGGCGTGCTTCGCGCGCGCGAACAGGGTGGGGGATGGGAATTGAGTAATGAAATCTCGCGAGATCCGTCCTGCAAAAGTTTTGTAAAATTGTGTTTTTTTTTTTTTTTTGTGCGTGTGTGTGTGTGTGTGTGTGTGTATGTGTGACTTTTTTTCTGTATCTGTAACCGTTGTATTAAGTGTTTGTATGTACTGCCTGTCTTCTATGTTTGAATTTTATGGTGAGTTTGCATTAGAACTTTTGACTCCTCTTCTTCCGCCTGCACCACACTGTGACAGGATCTGCAGGGTCTTTCTTGATCCTTTAAATAGCAGCTAATTGAGTAAAATTGCAACTGTGTTGGCATTTGTAGATTTTTGATAGATTGAATTAAGTCACATTTTAAAGTGCCAATGTACTCATTTCCCATTAGTGAACTAACTAGGGCCCACATCGGGAGCCCAACTGGGTTTGCCCATGTTGGACCTACTTAGTTGACCCAAGTGGGCCCCAGATAAGAAGCCCATTTTGAGCCCATGCCCACGCTGTACCCCTGTAGCCCATGTATAACCCATATGGGCCCCACTTAAACGTGTTGGCTGGGAATATTCCACTAACACCACAACAATATCAGAAAGTGAAGAGGAGAAGAAGCGAGATCAAAATTGTTGCTGATAAAAAGATTGGTGTTAGGCGTAAAAGACGGTTCATCAACCAGCAAGGTGGATTTTTATTACCGTTATTATCGGTAGCAATACCTTTTATATCAAGTTTGATTACGTCTAAATATTTTTTTTAATGGAGTATGCTGAGAAGATGTTTTTACTCCCACAACATCAGCTGGATAAACTGAAATTTTCAAACACCCGAGAGTCTATACACCAGGTTGTAGAGAACGACTTGGATCTGACCGTAAGAAATATTCTGCAAAGGTCTGATCTGGATCACCATGAAAAAGCTAAGATGTACACTACTGTTTTACAGAGGTTTTTAACACTATCTAGACAAGGGGATAAAGAATCTGCCACAATAACATTAAGTATACCACAGCATGGCAGTTTTGAAAAAGAAGAAGACACTGCATCTAGACAACATCTGAGTGATCGTAGTGAATTAATTGATGATAAAGATGAGATTTTAAAGAATATACCACAGAGGAGTGTGAAAAACGTTCGTTACATTTTAGATAAAATGTCTAAAACTAAAGATATCACATCATGGACCGAGTCGGGTGAGTTTGTATTTAAAGGAAGGATAATCCCTGGTTCACACATGCTTGATCTAGTTAAAAGCATTACAGCGCCGCAAAACATTGCTGACGAACGGAGACCCGGTGTTTGGTACGAGTTTTTAGAGGCTTTTGCTAGTTTAAACATGCCTTACTCTGTGGTACCAAATCACCGCGTCAGAAATGCTGTTAATTCTTTCAAATCCAAATCAACTCTGACTATAAACGATTCATCTAAGAAGAATAAAAAACAGAAAGCGTATCCGACCACCCCGACACAATCAAAATATACAGAAGACATCGCATTCAAATCACCCACTCTTGACAAGTGATTTTTAATCGCACTGATAGCACCGTAAACCAGCTCAATCTCTTCCATCTCAGATAGGGGTATTACTTTATTTTATTTTATTTTTACTCTTAACTGTTTTTATTTATATTGATTGCATTTACTGAATGAGCACTGTGCCACTGTTTGTCCGACTGTTACTGTACATTTTATTTTCGACACTGTATTTATTTTTATTATTATGATTTTTTTATTCTAAACTGTTTTAATTATTCTGACTTCTTTAATTTCTTCCATGTAAAGCACTTTGAATTGCCACTGTGTATGAAATGTGCTATATAAATAAACTTGCCTTGCCTTGCCTTAATTGTATGTATTATTATTGTCATTATTATTATTTATTTTATCATTATTTTTGAGAACTTATGATGTGTAATATTGAATGTTATGCATATGTAATAAAAGATGTTTTTAAAGAAAACACATTTATGCTCTGTAGTTTTTTTTGTTTTTTTATTGTAAAAAAATATTAAGCATGAGACAAGAACATTTCACCAATTTCCAAACACTGTATACATTTGAAAACATTGTCATTACATCGAACTCGTTTTAGTTTTTTCACAAATAGTGTGACCATTTTGTAATTTTTAACAAGATTGTTGCTATACAATTTCATCAAACCCCTTTACCATGTGATAGAGAAAGAACACACAAAGCTGACCACATGTATCTGATGAAAAATCTTGGAATTGCACTGTTGAATGTTGTACTTCGCTAGAATTGACATTTAAAAAGTTCTTGATAATGGGAGGAAAACCTGGGTAATCTGGTTTATTACCAAAGCTGTCGAAAAAACAACCTACACGATCCTCGTTTATGTAGATCGCCAACCAATGTTCTCCTGGGAGTCCTGAAGGATGTGTGTTGATTAAAACCATTGCTGGTAGTTTTGTTAAAGTGGATTTAGGTAGATGGTCACACGGTAGCACTCCAAGAAAATATGTATTGCATGAGACCTTATCCATGACGGCCGTAAGCTGTACAGTGTTCATATTAACGTATCAATAGTAATCAACAAGGACCTGTCGGCGATTTGACACTTCAATCATGCTGTCAAATAATGAGTAAACAATTAAGTTTATTGTGCGTGGTAGTGGATGTCTAAAACGGGCTTCTAGTCTAATATTCCCACTTTTGATAAGTGATACATGCTGACCACACTCCTCATCTGGTGTGAAATTGAATGCGTAAAGTGTATAGCCGTGCAGAAAATCCTCCCTATCAATACATAGAGCCTGATTTTTAAAATGTCTTCCAGAAGCCAATACTTACTGGTAAAATTCCTGCACTGCAGAACCATTTTCATATTGTGGTTGCAGCGGTTTTGTAGGATATTGAACTCCATCTGCATAAATAGCAATAAACTCTAAATCATAATTCTTAAATGCAAATGGATTTTATCATAAGCCCCAACAAATGCATCATTATCAACCATCCCTATAATCAATGATTTTGGTAGAGTCCCTAAAAAAAAGTTTTCTTGATTGCAGACACGTGAACCAGTGGGTATTGAGAAGTTTTTCAGACACACTCTGTCAATGGGGTACTTGGCAGTGGTTGAGAGTAGAGCTTGTGCATGAGCCAGTGTCACGGCTGGCGACACAGTCACTTTTTTCACAAATATCGATGCCGACACAATGTTCACTTTATAAGCTATAGCATTACTCCTCGTCAGACAGAATTCGTCTTTACCCCTTGTCATGCAAATTCTAATATCCAATCCGTTAAGCAAAAGCTTCCCT